CTGCCAGTCTTTTCCTTGGCCATACACGGCCCCTATCCCGTAGATGGATGCGTCACAAATGAGCCATATGGGCTCCGGTAGTCGGGGGTCGATGGGCCGAAGGATAGGCACCTTACAAGCTAGGGCCTTTATGGCCTCGAAGCACTTGTCATGTAGTGCTCGCCATATGAATGGCTGGTCATTGCGGACCATCGCGGAAAGAGGTGACGTATACGCCGTAACGTCAGGCATGAAGTGGGCTAGGTAGTTTACCAGCCCTAGGAATCTCTGTACCTCATGGTATGACCGTGGTGTACGCCAGCTCCGTATTCGACTCATCTTGTCGGTGTCGGTGTGCAACCCGCGGTCATCTATACGATGACCAAGACAGTCCAGGTCTTTCGAGTACAAGTCGCACTTATTGCGACTGAGGAAGAGTTTGGCCTTCCGTAGTACGTCGAATACTTGTGACAGATGTCGCTCATGGTCTTCACGCGTGTCAGAGTAGACGAAAATATCGTCTAGGTATACGTGTACAAAACATCCAATAAAATCACGAAAAATCGTGGTCATGAGACGTTGAAAGGTCGAGGGCGCGTTGGTATCGCCCTGTTGCATAACTTCGCTGACGAACATCCCGAAGGGCGTTGCGAAAGCGGTCTTCCAGATATCCTCGGCCACAATGCGTACTTGTTCGTACGCATCCGACAGGTCTATTTTAGACCGATATCTGGCTCGCGCTACATCCATGCGAATCTGGTCTTGATCCGGGAACGGGGTCAAATCGTGGACCGTATTATCGTTCCTTTGTCGTGCGTCAACGACAGTCCTCAGCTTGCCATTCTTCTTGGCTACACACAATAAAGGTGCCGCTTGCGTTACGGTGGCCGGTCGCCACCATCCCGCTTTGACATAGCGGTTGATCTTAGCCATAAGATCACCTTTGATTGCATCCGCGCACCGCGGCAGATGGTAGCGGTATATCTTTTTCTCGTCGATGAGGGGAATCCGATGATTCACCTCTCGGAATGGAGGAAGTTCCTCTGGAGCAGGACGCATTATGTCCTCGGTGGCCTTGTACCACCTCTCGCGGAGTTTCACTAACTCCTTCTCCTCGTCCTTGTCTATGACGAATCCAACATGAGACCGTCGGATTTCCTCATACTCCCACTGATCGCGCGCTATGCGATCTAGCAACTCATTGACCCCATAGGGGTCCTCGAATCCGAATTGGTCCCGTCGTGGACCTCTGGACGAATGCATCGTCGGAACTATGTGTTCAGATATTACAGGAGCTGAGCTGTTCTTGGCTCGCCCTTGATGTCGAACCGGAATTTCTACGGCTACATTGCCGTCCCCTCCCCTTCCGATGACCCCTGTGGTCTTGCATAGCGTGACTGGGGAGGTTCCACTTTTGTGGAGGCCGCCGT